TCAGGTCGCTGTGAGTTCAAGGCCAGCCTGGGTTATGTACTGAGTTCCAGGTCAGCCAGTGAGAGTCGTCAGACCCTTTCTTAAAAAAGATAAAAAGAAAAAAAGAAATAAAGAAGGAAGAAAGGAAAAAAAGGAAGAGACGGAAAGAAACGGGAAATAGCAAAACTATGTGCTGTCTGCAAGAATGCACTTCAAATGTAAAGACACATACAGATTAAAAATAATGGGAAGAGATATACCATGTGAACACTGAGCAAGGGGAGGCTGGTGTATCTGTGTTAACATCAGACAAAGAAATCTTTAGGATGAGGAAGGTTGGGAACAAGAGGTGTTGGAAAAGGGAGAGCTAAAGGTCATGTGACATGAAAGCAGGAAAAAAAGCTACTGGCAGAGGATGGCGTGATAAGAACAGGAGGTAGGAATTGGCTAGGCAGTTAGGGTAAAAAGACCCCAAAGAAATGTAGCCAGTTTCTGGGCTAAAAGTCAAAATGTCCTTGGGCCTGTTAGCAACATACTGTGTTCCAAAGGCCAAAAATGTCAAAAGTATTTGGGAGCTTTTATATAATCCTTGAAAGATTTTAGGGTTACCTCTTCAGAGGGGGGAATGTTGGTGGGGAGGGAGTGGGCATGGATTTGATCAAAACATCTTATATGCATGTATGAAATTCTCAATAAAGTTTTTGTGAAAATTAAAAAAAAAAGAAGGAAGAGGGAATGTGGAAGAAAGGAGGAGAGAAATATTTTTTAAAAAATCTAATTCTTTGTAAGCTAATAAAAAGATGAATATTTTCATAAGTGAATGAAGTTATTTTATAATAATAATAAAGCAATATAATGAAGAATAATAAATATAATATCCTCATTACAAAACACCCAGATATATAAACTACAAAGAACCATTGGAAAAAATCTATAGACATAATGGTAGACTATAACACCCCTTTCAACGTAAGAGATAAAATATTCTGATAACACTATCAAGCAATTTTACTCATTTGAAATTTTAACATTTCGTTGCCCTGAACCAAAAAAAAAGCAGATTAACTATTCTTCTCCAGTGTACAGATGTTCACTGTGCTATAACAGACTGCAGACATGGAATGAACCTCAACAAGCGCCAAAGGACTGAAATTCAATACCGTATCTTTTTGGCCACATAGTGATGGAATAAAATCAAAGCCCCCCAGATTAAAGTAAACTGAAACTAAGTCTCCCAGGCTATATTCTGGGAAACTGTACAAGGAAGTAAAAAGAAAATAATTCTCTCAGCAATACCATGCTCTAAATAGAACAGAAAACCTGTAGATTTTAAGATTAAAATCTTGTTACAAGAAAAAGGGGGGAAATGATGGAATCAAATCAAAGCCCCCCAGATTAAAGTAAACTGAAACTAAGTCTCCCAGGCTATATTCTGGGAAGCTGTACAAGGAAGTAAAAGGAAAATAATTCTAACTGTAGAGAAGAAAAGATGACCTTTTCATGCTTCCCTAAGCTGGAAAAATACCTGAAAAATCCCCCTCCCACTTCTGCTGTGACCAAGCACTTCTGCTGTGACCTGAATACTAGCCCCCTCCCACTACTGTTTGTGGTTTGTGGTTTCTGTCTATATAACCAAGCTTCTAAGCTGAATCTGGACTTCTCCTTTAGATCAAGGTGGAAGGCCGTCTATAGACGAAATAAAATCCTCTTGCAATTGCATCTTCTGATTTGAGGACTGAGTTATTGGGGTGCGGCCTCCCGAGAACGTAGGGTACCCCAGTTTGGGGGTCCTACAATAGTATTAAATTAAAATTCAAATAAATGATAGCTTAAAAATCCTAAAGTACTTTGATGTTTTGTTCTGTTCTGTTCTGTTTTGTTTTTTTGTTTTGTTTGAGACAAGATTTTCCTGTAATCCCAGCTGATCTGGAATGCACTATGTAAATTAGGCTGGTCTCAATCTCACAGAGATCAACCTGCCTCTGCCTCCAGAGTGCTGGGAAAAAGGTGTGCACCACCATGCCCCTAAAGAACTTTGAAATTAAACAAACACGCATAATTAAATCAATGGATCAAAGAAAAATAAGAGATATTAATGAAGGATGTTGAATTTGTGTAATACAACTAAGGTAAGAAACATAACTTTTTTTTTCTCTCTTTTTGAGACAGGGTCTCCTTGAAGCCCCAGCTGTCCTGGAATTCACTATGTAGATCTGCCTGCCTCTGCCTCCCAAGTGCTGGGATTAAAGGCAAGCGCCACCACTCCCCAGCCCCGCCACCACGCCCAGCTGGAAACATAACTTTTAATGCTAATGTTATAGAATATTGTTAAGTGAAATTATATAAAAACATTGACCTCTTCTTTTACCTTAAGTTGCCAGAAAGAAAGGAGGAAATAGCACCCAAAATAAGTAGGAAAAAGAACATACTAAATACAAGGTTGGTATTAATGAAATAGAAAAAGTCAACATAGAAGCCACCAATACTTTGAAAAGAGTAATAGATTTAATGACTATCTAGTAGGCATGATCGATTAAACAAATGTACCAGTAACAGAGACAAAAAAGGTATTACTATAAACCCCAAAGGTATTATTAAATTAGACAACTCACACAACATGGAACATCCCTTGAAAACCGTGAACTTACTCAAAGAAGACATAAAAATCGATATCTCCCTATATCCTTTAAGATACTGAATTTGTAGTCAAACAACTTTTCCAAGTTCAAATTGATTCACTGGTAGACGTTATCAAATTATAAGGAAAAGTTAATAAAATTCTACACAAATGCTTTTAGAAAACTACAAGTAAAGAAGTGCATCCTAATTCATTTTGTTGTTTTTGTTGTTCTTGTTTCGGTTTTCGTTTCTGGTTTTGGTGGAGGGGGGTGTTTGTTTGTTTGTTTGTTTGTTTTTGTTTGTTAGTTTTGAGATAGTCTCATGTAGCCCAAGCTGGCTTCAAACACCCTATGTAGCTAAAGGTAGATTTGACCTTATTCTTCTGCCTCCACCTCCTAAGTGCTGGGGCTACAGGCGTGTACCACCATGTCTGGTTCTAACTTGCTTTATGACACTATGACAAGCCCCACTAAAGTATTCTACAAGAAAATTACTCAAACAACAAATGAAGTTAAAATGCACCAAGATACAAAGCCAGTATACAAAACCAAACTGTATTTATCCATACTTTAATGAATATTTAGAAAATGTAATTTTAAAATATTACTAGCAAAGAATCAAAAATCAGATATGGATTAACTTAGTGAAAGATATATAAGATTTTTATGTGGTAAATTATAAAACATGACTAAGAGAAATTAAGAAAATCTGAAATAAAAGGAGAGCTGTTATTTTGATTAATTAAAAGACTCAATATTTTAAAATATCCACCTCCATTAACTGATTTAAGATTCAAGCTTGCAGGAGGCTTACTAATTTCTGGAAATTTGTAAGATAACTATAAGTTTTATTTAAAAAGATAAAATATTAAGAATAGCTAAAATAGGGCTGGAGAGATGCTTCAGAAGTTAAGAGCACTGGCTGCTCTTGCAAAGGACCCAGGTTCAGCTCCCAGCACCCACATGGTGGCTAACAACTGTCCTTAACTCCAGTTCCAGGTGATCCAATGCCCTTTTCTGATCTTCATAAGCATTTCACAACACGGGTGAACTTACATAAATGGAGGCAAAACACTCATGTACATAAAATAAAAATCAATGAATCAACCAAAAAAAAAAAAGACTAGCTAAAATAAAAATATTGCAGAAAAAAACAAAGCTGAGGATTTGAAATTCAAATTTTAAATCTTTCTCTAAATTTACAGTAATCAATATAATGTAGACTGACTTAAAAAATATACAAATGAAGAAGAAAATTCATAAACACACATACACAATCAAAATGTTTTTAATAAGGCACAAGAGCAAGCAAATGAAAAATCTTATCATCAAATAGTACTGGAATAAATAAATACACTTATAAAGACAAGAAACTCCTTAACCTCTACTTCATACCATAACTAAAAATAAATTTAAGATGGATTATACATAAATATGAAAACTAGAAAGTCTTGAGAGCTAGTAAGATAGATCAGTGGATAAAGGCATTTGTCACCAAGCCTGACAACCTGAATCCAATCCCCAGAATCCATACAGTGGAAGGAAGGAGAGAGCAGACTCCCAAAAGTTGTCCTCTGACCTCCACGTGTGTGTTATGGCATATGCACACCCACATTCACACACATACACACACAAAATAAATAATCTTGAAAAATAAATATAGCATAAGATAGTCACAATTAGGAATAGAGAAAGAGTTCTTGTAGAAGTCACCAAAAGCAGAGGTCTAAAAGAATGAATAAATTTGATCAAACCTGTAACACCTGTAACTCCAACTCCCAGGGATCTGAGGCCCTCTTCTGGCCTCCACAGACACCCACATATACATGGCATAAACATATGTGCACACACACATATACACACACACATGCACACAAATAGGCAAATAATCTTAAATACATGCAAGTATCTAAAGCAACATAATGCAAGACTTAAAGTCTGAAAATGCAGAAAACCATAAGTAAATTCATAGAAAACCAGACAATGTTAATACAAAAGATGTAAAGATGTCAAGAGGAACAGGACAGAGCCTCAGGTGAGGACACAGATCAACAACACCACTGATGAGTCCTTTCTACCCTCCACCTTTTATTTGGACTATCACAGGATGGTGTCTGCCTTTACTCAACGATGTGGAAGCAGAAGAACCCATCATGCACTTCCTGTACTCTTAACCAGCATCTCCTCTGTGTCTCCTTGTGCTCTCATCCTGCCCCATCACATTCACCATAGTCTACTGTAATGAGTTATTTACAAACACATCTTTCCCACAATCATGATTACAACACAATGGGCAATATGTAAATCTGCTTCAAAAGAATAGGTAGGTTAGTATGCAACATAACTTAACACTGAAGGGACAGTTATTCTCTTCAACCTATTGCCTTCTAGGGATCATCTTACCTCTGTCCTCGAAGAATGGCTGTATACAGGTGAATACACTGACTGTCCTGAACCAGCCAATACAGGAGCCCATCACTGAGGTCTAAGGTTAGAGCAATAACCTAAACAGAAAATAAGGTAAGAAAATGAGCCAGGATGGGGAAATAGCTTAGTGGTACAGCACATGCCTAGCATGCTCAAGGCCATAAATTCAATCCCCAATACCACAAAGAAAACAAGAAAATGAACGGAACATAGGTCTGAAACATGCCTTTGTGAGTAGGTCAGACTTCAACTACAGAATTCTCTTCAACATCTTCTGAATAATAAATTCAAAGATATTTTACATTCACTAAATAGCAAAATGATATATTACAGCTCTTGCTGTTATTTGGATATGAGCATGGGTTTCCTAAAATTCTTCTAAAGGCAGGAAGTACCAGTTCTTCATTGTAATGGACTTAGTTCTGATGGTTATCAAAGCATGATTCTCAAGGGACCTCCAGCAACATCACCTGGAAAGTCGTGGAGAATTCAAATTTTCAACTCATTCAATTTGAGACTAAATCTGCATCAAGCCTTGCTTAAAACTAGCTGTGATGTTGACTTCTTCAGCCACATGAGGCAATGACTTTTGTTGTTGCCTAAACCAGTTGATCTCCAAGAATACTGAACAGTAAGAGTTTTTTTATTCAATCATCAGGCTGTACCCAATTAAATTATGATTTCTGTCTCAAAAAGGCCAAAAAAAAATTATGATCTCTAGGATGAAACCTAGTCTCCGGGATGCTTTAAATTTCCCCAGCAATTCCAGTATGCCATGAGTCGTGGTGGTACACAACTGTAACCCCTCAAATCAGGAAGTGGAGGCAGGAGGATTAGGATTTCAAGGTCATCCTTAGTTACCTAAAGAGTTTGAGTTCAAGGCTAGCCTAGGTTATGGGAGACCTTATCTTAAAAAAAAAAAAAAAAAAAAGAATGTATTTTCTCAGGAGCTGGAAATATGGCTCAGTGGTTAAGAGCATTTGCTGCTCTTGCAGAGGACCTGGGTTTTGGTCCCAGCCCCTAACTAAAAACCTAACAACCAACTGTAACTCCAGTTCCAGAGGATTCTATGCGCTTATCCGGCCCTACACAGGCATTGCATGCATCTATTGCATTTATATGCATACAGGCAAACCACTCATACACATAAAATAAATATAAATACATTTAAAAAGATACACTCATTTTCTACTTCCATGTTGAGTAAAAATAACAGAAAAATATAAAACGTCACTACCTTTTGTAATTAAACCATTAAGTTTCTGTAAGAGCATAAAACTTTGTATGTACAATTTAAAAACCTGCACTTCATACATAATAACAGTCCCAAATCTGAACAGAGGTGACATCCAGTAGCATTGTGTGGTGTGGTCAACACAGGAAATGCAAAGTGCACATGTTATATGCTTAGAAACAAAGGTAAATGCTTGCAGAAACACCTCAGATTCATGACATATTTGATTTTGAACTAAGTTTTTGCACATTTAGAAAACTTGTATTATTGCCAACTTTTTCATGACCCTCACATTCAGGGTAGATCATGACTCACAGTTTAAGAAGCTATGTTCAAAAGAAGAAGAAAAGGAAGGGGAAGTGGAAGGGAGAGGAGGAGGAAGAAGAGGAGGAGGAAGACAAGTGGCAGTTATCTTTGAGCAATTAAAGACACTTGCCCCCAAGCCTGACGACCCAAGTTTGACTCCTGGGACCCACATAGTGAAGGAGAGAACTGACTCCTATTAGTTGTTATCTGACCTTCACGTGTACGCTGTGGCACATACACACACACACACACACACACACACACACACACACACACACACCCTTCTATGGGATAACTAAGGAATCAAAAAATAGGTATTCCTTAGAAGCCGAGGAGGTGAGAAAACATTTGTTTATGAATTGTTCCCATGTCAGGTTCCCTTTTCATATTGAACTACACAAACAGGAGCTTCACAATTGAGTTTTACCAAGTGATTCTCACACAACCCTAAGAAATAAAATAATTACTAATAGTCCTATTTTTCAGATAAGAAAATGAAGATAGAAAAGTCAATTTACCTAGAGGCCAACTGATTTTAGGACTGTCAATATCTAAAACTGATTAAAAACAATAAAGCCCGAGCACTGCAAAAAATGAAGTAATAATACAGTAATAAAATGTTGAATCAATACTCAACAAGAAACTTTAAACTATTCAGTAGAAATTAAGAACAGCAAGAAAATTAAAACTAAGTAAAGTTGAATCTACTCAAGATAAAGCAAACTACAAAAATCTCCATATTATAGCTGAACTTATGAAATCAATTCTAAACAGTAAATAAAGCTTAGGGAAATGTTGGTTATACTGTGAAATTTCTATAATAGAATTTCCTTTAGAATTCTACCTCAATGACTCACAATAAGCAGAAGGAGTAATACCATTACTATAGAATGGCACTATTTAGTATTATTAAATAATTAATCTTATATTTTAATTTGTCACCTTTTTCCCAGAAAGCCAAGGCTGAGCCTGTAGTATGAGAGCACTTTCTCCATTTAGTCTGGTACTTTCAACTGAGTACTGTGTAGTCCAATACAGATAGCCACCAACTGAATCCACGGCCATGTCATTCACTAACAACTTCACGTGAGTCACAATGTCTGTGTGTCCTGTCAACACAGATTGCCTTTGGATCTAGAAAACATAACAGCATTACCGGATAATTATTTTCAAATTACATCATTATTTCTGAATGGTTTATTGCAACCATTAGTAAATTGTCCCATTCTTTTATTCATTCACTCATTCAACCACAAATAACTAGCATCGTACATCCAAGCTAAGCCTTGGTAAATAATAACAAACAGGCATGGCACTGCCTTCACAGAATTTATCTCTTTTCACATCTAAAGAGAAGAGATGTTAGTTTAAGTTAAAATAGTCAGTATTCCTAATCATAAACACAAAACACTCAGGAATACATTCTCAATATTAGACTTGGGGTGGGGGAGAGCACAGCTCAGTGGAAGGCATTACCCAGCATGCACAAGACTCTGTACATACCCAGAACCACCACCAAAAATAAAGGAATTTGATTGGACCCCTGAAAAAGATATACACATGTCTACAAATGATGAGCTTTCTCCTTGCTCCTCCGTGTTGTACTTTTCCTTAATATTAATTCTCACAATTACTAAGTGCCTGTTGCATGCCAGACACTGTACTTTTTCCCCCTTAAAATATTAGCTCTCTCTGGGGCTGGAGAGATGGCTCAGCGGTTAAGAGCAGTGACTGCTCTTGCAGAGGACCAGGGTTCGATTCCCAGCACCCATATGGCAACTACGAGCCATCTTTAACTCCAGTTTCAGGGGAATCCGAAGCCCTCTTCTGACTTCCACAGCATTGCACGACATGGGTGCACTCACATACATGCAGGCAATACACTCATACATCTAAAATTAAAATAATAAAATTTTTTTTAAATATTAGTTCCCAGGACTGACGAAAAGGCTCAGCAGTTAAGAGCATTTGCTATTCCTGCAGATGACCCAAGTTGGTTTCCCAGCACCACATCAGGCAGCTCACCACTGGAATTCCACTTGTAATTCCAGCTCCACAGGCTCTGATGCCCTCTTCTGACTTCCACAGGCACGTGCACACACATGGCATACATATAGAACACACACATACATAAAAATAAATATTTAAAACTTAAAAATTAACACACATATTCCTCATATTAAATCTATAAAGAATGTCTATTCCCTGGGGATTTTTCCTCACAAGTAAACTGGGTTAAACAAAGTTGAGCAATCTGTCCTGGAGTTAAATAGCTGTATAAAAGGCAGAGTTTCTATGTCTACTCCTCTGCCTTCTTAGGAACCGTCTTAGAAAGCATTCTCTGATTAACTCAATACCATTCCTTTGTCTGTCTTTGGCACCTGTAAATTCAGACTGTATAATATGGTCTTACTTTTAAGTACATTTCTTTGTATGCCTCTTTTATTATTTCAGGTATGGTTTTTATCTCATCAAAATAACAAGGATTTGGCTGGTGAGATAGTTCAGTGGATAAAAGCGCTTCCTGTGCAAACCTGAAAACCTAAGTTCAATCCCCAGATCCCATGAAGGAGAGAGCCAAGTCCCAAAACATGTCCTCTTACCTTCACACATGCACCATGGTGTGTACAGGCCTGCTTGCATGTGCACACACATGCATATGCATGCACACGCACACACACTATACCATACACACACAATAATAATAGTCAATTAAGTAATTAAATTTTAAAAATAGCAGGGACAGCTGGGCTTTGGGATGTATGCCTGTAATCCCAGCACTCAGGAGGTAGAAGCAGGAAGATCAGAACTTCTAGGTCAGCCCAGCTACATAGTAAGTTCTAGGCCAACCTGGGCTACATGAGATCCTGTCTCAGAAAAATAAGAATTATTATAATAGCAGGGACAAGTGGTGATGTCTGCATAACACTGAATATACTAAAACCCTCTGAATGCTACACAAGAGGAGTGAATTTTATGGTACATCTCAATAAAACCAGTTTTAAGAGCAGAGACATGTCTACTATTGACTTAGTTGTTCCTACTGTGTCTACTCTCAGGACTCTAACACACTGCTAGTAGATAAATGACTACTGAACAAATAAATGAATGTACAACTAACATCCTTCTGGTTAGAAAATGATTTCAGTATCATGTACTTTGATCAAGCCAGCGTCCTCATCACTGAACATCATCCTTTTCTTCAAAATGTGTCACTGAATAGGCAAACTAAATGTCTTTGCTTCTCTGCAATCCTAGTCACCACCCTTCTCCATCTGACCCTTTGGACTCAGAAGTAGACATCCATGGACTGTATCCATGGGCTCTCTCTTCTCTGCTTGCTGTGGACTTCAGGCAGTACAACTAACAAAAGGTAGGGAGCAGGAAAAGAGGAGTTGGGGTGCTTATTCCCCTGGCTCACTTCTTGCCAACCATATGCTGTGATGTGGATGGATTTCTTTCTGAAGTCACAACTCACACTGGCAACCCTCCTTTAGTCCTGGCACTCTCCAAGTTCTGCCCTTCTCCCCCTTGCATCTTCACACCTGGGGAACATGTCTTCCTGGACCCAGTAGCTCAGAGGATGCTTTGCTGTCCCTTGTTCATTTTCTCAAGCCCTGTTTACAGCATTGAAAAGGGTTTTTTCAGACTGGGGATATAGCTCAATGGTGAGCACTCGCCTAGCATGTCTGAGGGTCTTGGTTTAATCCCTAGCAGTTCAAAAGAAAAAGAAGAAAATAGCCTCTTCTTTTGGTTCTCTTTAATTGACTGTAGGAGCCAGCCATCTCCCTGACAAGGCATTGACCCTCAGATCAACATTGTAATATATTTAAAATATTAATGAAAATATACAACCAGGGGCTGGAGAGATGTCTTAGCAGTTAAGAGCAATGACTGCTCTTACAGAGGACACAGGTTCAATTCCCAACACCCATATGGCAGTTAGCAACCATCCCCAACTCCAGTTTCAGGGGATCTGACGCCCTCTTCTGAACTCCGTGGCATTGCATGACACGGGTTCACTTACATACATGCAGGCAATACACTCATTACACATGAAATAAAAATAATAAATAAAAATATTTTTTAAAAAAGAAAATATACGATCGGGTTAGAGGCTTGGAGCTCAGCAGACCACCAGAGAGTTCCAGGTTCTGGCCTCCCTCTGGCCTCCAACTACCAGAGGCTTGACAACGCAGGAGACTGCCTGACAGCCCCCAATCCTGCCTCCACGTGGTGGTGAGCGTCCCCTAATTGCGCCATACCATCCCCCTACCTGGGATTTTTGAGGCCCCTCCCAAGGCCCCAGGGCAGACCTGGCTTTGGTAGGCTAAGGCTGAGATCCTAGCAGACAGCCTGAGAGGTGGGTTCGGACATCCATCGGGCTCGGAGCTCAGCAGACCGCCAGAGAGTGCCGGGTTCTGGCCTCCCTCTGGCCTCCAACTACCAGAGGGCCTGAGAACCCAGGGAACTACCTGATAGGCCCCAAATCCTGCCTCTATGTGGTGGTCCTTTTAATAAGATGATGCTATACAGCAGTCCCTTCTGCATGAAATAACGACTTTGGCTGAGCCTGATCACTCATAGTCACAACTGGGCTTGTTGACAGTTGTGCTCATTCATTAAAGGAATTCAATTAAAAGACCCAAGCAGGGTCACTGAACCTTCACCTGAGTATCCAGCCACTCTTCCCAGCCAAGTAGTCCAGCCTTGGAAGACAAAAGAAAAATGAGGAAGAACCCAACAGGGGGATGCTTTTGGAAGCCCTTGTCAAGAAACTCTCATATGAACATTTGAAAAGTGCCCTGTTCTGACTTTTTTCTTGTTCCTTGTCTAGAACTTGTAATGCTAATGACTCTTGCCTTTACTTCTCCTTCACATCTCCTATTCATGATTCAAGGACATTCTTTTCTCCAGAGACAAGAGTTATGCAATTTGGGAGTCTTTTAGATAGACCCACTGAAAGGATACTCTAATTACCTCACCCTGCATCCCTATTCAGCATGGAAGAAGCCAGAGCAGCCTGCGTCCCTATTCCTTATTGGCAATTTTGGTAACCTCTTCAGAGGATGGTGTGATAAGAATAGGAGGTAGGAATTGGCTAGGCAGTTAGGGTAAAAAGACCCCAAAAAAAAGTAGCCAGTTTCTTGGCTAAAAGTCAAAATGTCCTCGGGACTGTTAGCAACACACTCTGTTCCAAAGGCCAAAAATGTCAAAATGTCAGAAGTATTTGGGGGCTTGTAACTAATCCTTGAAAGATTTTAGGGTTACCTCTTCAGAGGAGGAAGGCTGGAGGGGAGGGAGTGGGCATGGATTTGATCAAAACACCTTATATGCATGTATGAAATTCTCAATAAAGTTTTTGTAAAAGTTAAAAAAAAAAGAAAATATACAATCAGTACACTCAATAGTGACACAAAGTTTCATTTACACATAAGTGCACTTTAAAGGGGAGTAGGTCTAGAGACAAATATATAGATGGTGGTACAGGCAGTACACAAGTGTGTGAGAAAATATGAAAATGCCATAAAAGTCACCTCAGTGATAAACATTACCTTACAGCACTCAAAACAGCAGGCTCTGACTTACCACATAGGTCTTCCCAGCCCAGTAGAGAAAGTAGCCCAGCCACTCAAATGCCAATGCCCCTGCCCCTGCAATGCTGGGTATATGGTAACTCTCTGATATGTCCATTCCATTCAGTGGCCACACGTAAACATTGCCTTTCATGTCACTGTAGTAGAGGCTGTTGTTATACCAGTCCATGTCTCAAAACAAAGACAAAAAAACAGCACTTATTCTTCATGTGTGTGAATAAAGACATGTTGAGTCAATAAATCACATGAGCATCTTTAAAGCACATTGTTGACATAGTCAAGAGAACCTCAAGGTTCTGTCAAGAATATTTCAGGGAAGGTCAGGCATGCTGGTACACACGTTTAATCCCAGCACTTGGGAGGCAGAAGCAGGTGAATCTCTGTGAGTTAATGGCCAGCCTGGTCTACATAGCAACTTCCAGGCCAGCCAGGGATACATAGTGAGATCTTATCTCAAAAAACAGAATATTTCAATAAGGTAATCCCAAAATCTTAACCCTAGAACTGGACAGAGGAACTAACACATTGAGCATCTCCTGTCTGCCTAGTATTGTCCCAGACACTTTGCATAACTAATTTAGCCCCTAAAGCAACAATATCAAATAGAATTCCCATTTTTAAGAAGGAAAACCTTAGATTTAGTGAGATTGTCTATTCTGAGACCTCGGATGAAAGAGAGAGAGTACAGGTTTCAGCCCGCTCCAAGTCACATTCCTACCATTAGCGCCACTCTAAGTTCAGCCCCCTTGTTGATGGGAAATGCTGTTGTGCATTTAATGACCAAGTGAAAAGATAAAATAATTCGGTAATTATAGGAGTGTTCATCTTTAGGCAAGGTCATTGTTATACCATCTTATAAAGAAGACTTTTCTTCTGTCAGGAAATATTAGCCATTCATTACCAAATAGTCCTCTATCAACAATTTCTTTCTTACACCCTACTTAAAACTCTATTCTGCAGTTTTCTTACCCCAGTCTTATAGCAAAATCATAGTAAATTATTTAAGAAAAGCTGCCTCAGCAGAACTAGACAGGCTGTTAAGAGACAATATTGATAGACTAAAATGAATCAGCATTAAATGAAAGCCCTTTTGTAGTAGGCATAAGTTAATAAATAGCCTAACATTTTCTGTAATAAATAACATTTCTACCTAAGAACGGACATTTTTTAACAATAGCCCTGGCAGTACTTTTTCCTCCCGTGACTGCCCTGACAGCCAGCACTGGTGCCTTCTCTTTGCTGCATAACTTCAGAGGGTACATGAGTAGGAACCTGCATCTGGGTGAATGAGGGTGTCTACCTGACACGTTTCCTATGTCAGAGGATAGGAACTCTACTGGGCCAAAGCTACCGAGTGGTTTGCTCCAAAGCCCATCTTCTTTCACAGCCATGATGAATGGTGGCTCAGCAGCTGTATGGTAGAAGAAAAAGAAAAGAAATTAAAAGGAAATATCTACACAAAGCATGGTTTTTCAAAGTAAAAGAACATCAACATTTTGAGAGATACCACAGAGGCGTCTGCACAATTGCATCTGTTTAGTAGAATGATTTTGAGACAAGTCTCCCTCTATGGTCCAGAATGACCTCAAATTGTGTTAATTCCCCTGCCTCAATGCCCTGAGTGCTGGAATTGTAAACATGAGCCACCACACCTACATGTACTTTCTGATTTTTATATAAATATTTGAAATTAAATGTAAAGAGGGATGCATGGTTACACTTCCTCCCTAACAATGTCTAACGGTGTCATACCAGATACCCATGGTCACACCAGAGTCTATCACCACAAACGCCAAACCATCCATGGCTACTGTTTACCATGGTCCTATTCCAAAAGCTTAGATGCTATTGTGACAATAATGGTATAAATGATATCATTGTCCTTAGCATAACTTATAGCCCCCTCAATTTCTCTTTCCAAGACCTTCATAGTTGAGGAAGATTATGGCCTAATAAATGGAGCCCATGAAGAAGAAGAAAAGTGTTTCCTCAAATATGTCTTGGAATATTTAAAGTATTGGGTAAGAAACACAAATATCCCTCGGTGTTTTATTTGAGTCCCTAATCTCAGATTAAAATTCACCCTCAGACCTCATTCTCATGTAATTCTCATGTGATCACTACAGTAGAAACAAGAAATTTTAAAGGACATTCAGGCTAAGCTTGTTCTCTTTAGAATCACTCCATAGATTCAGAACGTTTTCTTACCTGGTACTAGGGTGGTACCCACTGAAGAGTCTGACCAGGGGCCTGGGCCCTTAGGAGAACTTGCTCTCACAGAAATCTTGTATTTTGTAGCACTCTGCAGCTCAGGTACATTAAGCGTGGTCCCACTTATGTTAGAGAAAACTTGAGTGATTTCAGAAAGGTCTTGAGTGGAAACTTTCACCTCGTAAGTCCAGTTCTGCCAGGCAGAGGGGCCTAAAGAGTTAAATAGCGTCATTGACCAGGATGACGCCAGCAAGGACAAACCAAAGACTGTCAAAAATTGATGATTAGCCTGTCTCAAAAGGAAGAGTAATTAGCTGCCATGCTTATCATCCTGCTGACCAACAAGGTTAGTGTAATGACAAGTCTAGGGTAGTGCCCATTCCTCCCATGACACTTGATCCAACAAGTAAGATGGTAAGACTGTACTTTTTTAAAGATTTATTTTATTTTTATTTTATGTGGATGTGTGTGTTTCTGTGTGAGTATATGCCACATGTGTGCAGTGTCCTCAGAGGCCAGAAGAGGGCATCAGATTCCCCCTGGAGCTGGAGTTACAGGCAGTGGTAAGCCACCTGACATGGGTGCTAGGAACTGAACCCTGAAGAGCAGCAAGTGTTCTTAACCACTGGGCCATTTCTTCAGCCCCAAGACTGTGCTTCAAAAAAATATATTCTTTTGGTCTTTTTTGAGACAGGGTCTCCCTGTAGCCCCAACTGGCCTGGAACTCAATATACAGACCAAACTCACACAGATCTGCCTGCCTCTGCCTCCCAATTGCTGGGATTAAAGGCATACACCACCACACCTGGCTTAAAAAAATGTTTTACTGTTGTAGCACAGGCTTTCCTTGAATTCAAAATCCTCCTCCCTCAACCTCTGAAGGGCTGTGATTGTGTGTGCCACAAGACCCAACTAAGACTATCATTTTTTCTGTGTGGTTGGCTCCATAGCATGTTAGAGAGGTTCTCTGTAACACTACCAGATATAACCAAGCTCTTAATGAAAAGTGAATCTCCAATGCAATTACCAGAAGGCAAATCAATTTAGGGATAAAAACTGCCTATTCATTCTCATTGTGTGTGTGTGTGTGTGTGTGTGTGTGTGTGTGTGTGTGTGTGTGTATGACAAAGTCTCATATATCCTATATTGGCCTCACACTTCTTATGTAGCTAAGAATGACCTTGAACTTCTGATCCTCCTATTGCCATCTCCTGGGCGCTGTACACTCAGGAATTGTACACTGTCATGTCCAGTTTATACAGTTCTAAAACCCAAACTCAGGGCTTGGCGCATGCTAGGCAAGCACTCTATCAACTAAGCCTTCATTCTCAGATGGTTTTGAGATATGCAGCAAATAAGCATAATCAGTTTGCCTTAAGTAAAAAAAAAATAGTCAGTTTGCTAACTATTACTGCCTGACAGATCAGAGGTTAGCAAATTACAGTACAAGGACAAATCTGCCCACTGCCTGTTTCTATCCACAAGGCTGTACCAGAATCCTGCTTCAGCTATTCATTTACATCTGGCCTACAGCTGCTTCAACAAGCCAAAAGAGTTGAGCAGCTGTGGCAGAGACCACCTGCACCACCAAGCTGAACCCATTTACCCCTCTTTACCAAGAAACTTGCTGCATCTGTGTGAGACACTATTCTCTGTGTTCTTCTTAATACCTTAACCTGTATGACAGCCTCTTAGAGAGAGCTAATGGTCTCCTCTTCCAGCTGTAGAAGCCAAGACAGAGTGCTTCAGTAACTTGCGCAGCATCACTGCACTAGCAGTCCATGCAGGCTGGCTCCAGAGCCCACTTGATCCAGAAATGGAAAGTCAAGTTCAGAAAGCTTCAGGGAATTGCTAAAACTCATGCAAGACCCAAACTCAAGTGTGCTATTCTCCTGGGTGGTCATCATTCAGACTAGAATGTCAGTATAGCTCCTAACAGATGCTCAAAAATGGTGGAGCTATTCTGTTGGGCTCTACCTAGGGAATGCAAAGACCCTCCTACTTTGAGGCCATTAAATGTAAAATGAAGGTATAGACACTATTTTAGCTAAGTAGCTGCTGCCCTTCATTTGTGACTAGATGCAGATTCTCAAAATTGAATCCCTATGCCAAGCAGTTCAAGCCTCTTCCACTTCCAGTGAGCCAGTAGCCACCCCAGGGACCAAGCACTCACTGGCTCCTATGGGGAGGACAGGAGGCTTCCACTGAACAAGGGCCTCATGAGAGCCAAACAGCACCGAGAGCTCCTGTGGGCGGCCTGGCAGAGGGTGTGACTGGATGGATGAACCAAAGATGATCAAGTTGCCAAACCCAAATTCTTCTATGTGACTCAGGTCACATCCTACAATAAACTCATTAAAAGACAGGGAGTCCTGCTGGAAAACAGCCTTGCCATCTGTGACGAGGAAGTCATTGTTTTCACAAGCAAAGCTCTTCACATCCGCAAACGGGACCCAAGGCAGGACATGATGGGGAGCAGAGCCATCCAGAAATGTTGACATGAAGACTTGTGTGGTGTCATTGAAGTAAATGATTCGCTTGGACTGAGGCTTTATGGCAAAGTCCTTTAATGTGCCACTCTCCACAATGTGCACAGCTCTGGTGTCCCTGGCAGATGGCACAGGGAGATTGACTCTGTAAATGCCGTCTCTCAGGAGATAAAAGACATACCTGATGGGGAACAAAGGAAGCCTGATGTAATTCAGCACAAGGGTGGATGTGTAACCTCCTTATCTAATTGCTTTAGCCTGTTGCGCAATCAGAACCAAGTATCTCAGGACTAGCCAAGGTGCAACAGGGTAAAAGTCATAACTAGAGATATGCCTTGCTTATTACCATTGGAAGTTGGAAGGTTGGAAAATTTCAGCCTGTATTATGATACTTATTCTTTTCATTATTATAAAGAGCCTTTGAGGAATCACACAATGGACTAGAAAAGATCCCTAAGGATTTCAGAGGAAAGCATGTTCTATACAAATCACATCACTAGGACTAAGCAGACGGCTCTGTGTGTGAAAGTGAAGACCTGAGTGTGGATCCCCAGAACCCGTGTAAAAGCTAGGCATGGCTGTGCACACCTGTAACCCAGTAAGAGGAGGGGAATCAGATCCCAGAAACTCCATAGCAAGCCAGCCTAGTCAAAATGCTGAACCACAGATTTAATAAGAGACCCTGTCTCAAAAAATATGGTGGTGGGCTGGAGAGATGGCTCCAGGTAAGAGCCACTGGCTGCTCTTGCAGAGGACTCAGGTTTGGTTTTGCTCACAGCAGTCAGTAACTCCAGTTCAAGGACCCTCTTCTGGTCTCCACAGGCATTGTACAAGATGGGTTCACGTATATGCATGCAGGCAAAACACTCAAAAACATAAAACAAAAATAAATAAACAATATTTTTTAAATATGTGGTGAAAGCCAGGCATGGTAGTACATACCTTTAATCCCAGCACTCAGGAAGGCACAGGCAGACAGATCTCTGTGAGATCGAGGCCAGCCTGATCTCCATAGGGAGTTATAGGCCAACTGTGACTACAGAGAAACTCTGTCTCAAAAAGACCAAATAATAATAATAATACACATAAGGAAGATATCCAGCTTTAACCTCTGGTCTCCACATGTGCATATACAGATGAGTGCACTCTCACACACATAAATACAACCAGACACACACACATACACAGACACATACACACACACACACATGCACACACACACAATTGCATTCCTAAAAATTTACTAGTAGCAAAACACGTTCCTCCAGAATATCCAAATTCTTAAGTCTAAGTCTGTCAATAAATTTTCTCATATGTTGTAGATGATAAAAAGAAGAAAACAAAACATTTAAGCCATATGTATTTTACTAAAATTAACAGAACTAATTTTATTTATAGTAATCTAAACTTTTAAAAATAGCTATCTATAAGTGAGTCAAATAATTATAAATGTTTCATTTCAAATCATGAAGAAATATCCCACAAGTGGCCGGCATGACTGAGCAAAAAAACCACCCAGCAATCAAGAGAAAGAAATCAGCAGACCCATATGGACTCCAGCCTCATGGCGGTGGGGCAGGTGACCTTTTAACATGGAAAAAGAAAATGCACAACCCAATATTTTATTGATAATCAAATATGAAAGTAAAAATTTAACTGCTTTATAAAATCATGAATTTCAAGCTAAAGTTCTAAAATAGAACTTGTGATCATGAGAACAGATGCTAGCAAGAGTATACTTCTGTTTAACAAATTGCTATCATAACCCCATGGATTGTTGCATTTCAACTTCATAACAACTGGCAAATCATTTTTCTTGTCATTACTCTGTCTACTCTTATTCCTCTAGATGACCTTCCCGAATTTTTACAGACATGCTCAATACTGCAGCTTAGGGCAAAATCCTATAGATCAACTTCATCTTGAGATATAAATCTACATTCTTTTCCTCAAGGGAGAAGAAGAGAAGTGGGTGAAAAGTATGACTCTTCATTTTCTGCTCCTCCCTCCCCCACCAAATTCAAAATTTTTAATAGAACTTGGAAGAATTAAAAATAGATAGAAGATTTCACTGAACACAGATCAACTCACTTTAAAATGCTTGCATATCACTGAACTTGACACAGAAACACAGATAAAATGGTACACTTTAAGGTAAAACGTATGTTATTACATTTCTTTAAATTTTTGCAATTTTCATACAATTTTTTAAAATTTTATTTATTATTTTTATTTTATGTGTATGCGTGTATTACCTGCATGTAGGTAAGTGCACCCGTGTCATGCAATGCCTGCGGAGGACAGAAGAGGCTGTTGGATCCCCTGGGACTAGAGTTACAGACATGTGGGTGCTGGGATTCAAACCAGGGTCTTCTGCAAGAACAGTCAGTGTTCTTAACCACTGAGCCATCTCCCACTATATTTCCAAGATACATTGTGAAATGAGCACAGCACAGGGCAGAACAGTATATATTGAATGAATCTACCATTTCCTCTTTGCCTTTAGGTTTTCTATTTGAAATACATTTTAAAATAAATACTATCCAGAGAATTAAAAATAAAAGAATACATAAAAGAAACAATGTCTGGACAAATGATGCACAGTCCTTGTACTGAAGCAGGAAAGAACAAGGCAGATCTTTAGCCCCATCATCACATGGAAAGGAGAGATAAAGAGAAGGAAATAGAGGAGAAATGGGGAGTGAGAAGAGGAAAACAGACAAATGTAGGGGGGGAGCAATGATGGGGATGAAGGGCAAGAGGGAGAAGTAGCAATGTCTGTAAGCAAGTAGAGGGATGTTTCAATGGCCCAAAAATAAAATAACTGTGTAAAAAAATCAACCACCAGACTCTCTCCTGGGTAAGCCCATCAACACCATCTGCACTTTGACTCCCCCAGCCTCATTCACCCTCTCATGTCCCCTGCCCATCACTCCTTGTAGCCTGGGTACTGTCCCATTCCTTATCTTGGTGCCCCACACACTGGGGTAACCACCACTGCTTCCAGGTCCTTGGCATCCAGACCAACCCAGCTCCTATTAGTGGTCCCCAGAATCCCTCTAGGCCTCGTACCACCCTCACCTCCCTCTGCAACCCTGGGCTGCACAACCCGCCAGCTTCTTTCCTTGGTAAGTCCATTAGTGACCACAGCCTTGACTCCGCAAGCCTCATTCACCCAACTCCACTGCCCCATCTCTCCTCCTTGCCTGGGTACTGGCCCATTTCTTGTCTTGGCACCCCAGACACCCGGGCTGACCTCTGTGCTTGAAGCCACCACTGCTTCCTGGTCCTTTGGATCCAGAAGAACCAAAGTTCCTCCCTGCAGTCCCCAGGAGCCCTTGGAGCCTCTTCCCTCCCCCCACCTCCTTTTATATCCCTAGGTGGCACAGCCACCAGCTGCCTGAGACCAGCATCTTTCCTGGGCCGGGCTCCCAGGCCAGTCCAACCCCCAAATTCCTGAGGACAACATCTTTCCTAGAGGGATCCAGACCTTAGGAGAAAGGCTGAGAGCATCTGATCCTATTCTGACTTGGGCCTCTGTGGGAACTCCTGAGGACAAAAGCAATCTGGCCACTCCAATATAAAATCAAAGAGAGAACCGGACGCCCAGAGGAACCACCTTTTCAAGCCCAAAAAGTAAACCACAAAGGCACATAAAGTTTACAAAAAGAAGCAGACCTAAACTTGAAGGCTTGACTCTCACACAAGAATCAGAAACTACAAAACAAATTCACATGTCAAACTCACAGAAAAAAATAATAACATAAAAAGCCAAAATAACATATCTCCACCAAATACCAATAGTCCTGTAGAGGGGTGCAATGAGAACCCCCTAGAGATAATTCAGGACATGGAACTCAAAAGAACAATTATAAACACGGTAAAAGAATTCAGTGAATTTAAAGAACACACAAAGAAAGAAATCAAAGAACTGAAGGAAGATATGGATGAACTTCTGAATGAATTCAGAAAAGAGTTAGAAATATTGATGACTACTCTGGCTGAGATGAAGAAAAAAGTGAAACACTCAGTAAGCCAATTAGAAACAACAGGTAAAGCCTTACCAATAGGATGAATGAGATGGAAAACAGAACATCAAGACTGGAAGATAAAGTGAACAAACTAGACTCAAGAAAAGACTGTGAAAGATTTAAGAGAGCACAAGAATGGAATATGCAGGAATTGTGTGACAAAATAAAAAGACCAAACTTACGAATCATAGGCATACAGGAAGGAGAAGAATCCCAAGAAAATGACATGGACCAGATCCTCAACAGAATCGTAGAAGACAATTTTCCAAAATTAAAGAAAGGCATACCCATACAAATACAAGAAGCATATAGAACACAAAACAGACAGGACCAGAAAAGAAACTCTCCATGGCACATCATAGTAAAAACACTAAATGAACACAACAAAGAGACAATACTGAACGCTGCAAAACAAAAACAAGAAGGCATATATAAAGGAAAACCCATTAGGATCACAGCTGACTTTTCAATGCAAACTATGAAAGCCAGAAGAGCCTGGACCAAAGTATTCCCAGTTTTAAATGACCACAGATGCCAATCCAGATTACTATACCCAGCCAAAATGTCTATTATAGTTGAAGGGGAAAGAAAAATCTTCCATGACATAAACAGGCTGAAGGAATTCATGTCCACAAAACGAGCCCTTCAGAGAGTCCTGAAAGCAATACAAAGAGCTGAAGAAAGGAATGACTATACCCAAAAGGTTGCAGAAAGATATTCAATGAAGGTGTAACTGTGGAAAAGTACAGCTATCTCAAGAATGTGAAGAGAAACAAAAATCACAGGATTCAATACACATCTTTCATTAATAACTTTGAATATTAACAGACTGAACTCCCCAGTCAAAAAAAAAAAGACTAGGTGAATGGATTAAGAAACAAAACCCATCTTTTTGTTGTTTGCAAGAAACTCATCTCACTTCTAAGGACAGGCACTATCTTAAGGTGATAGGATGGAAAAAAGCACTTCAAGCAAATGGCACTAAGAAACAAGCAGGGGTTGCAATTGTAATATCCGACAAAATACACTTCAAACTAAAATGAATGAGAAGAGATAAGGAGGGTCACTTCATTCTGATT